AACAGCTTTATCTATAATCCATGTTTCAGAGTGCTCCTTGGACAAATCCTATTATAAATATTGATCTGGTTAACTTTAGTGATATTTTAAGCATACAAAAAATATATATTTGCTGGTTTATTCTTTAGTGATTAGTGTTACCCTTTATCTCTCCATACAAATTACTACCTGTATCAGGCTCGAATATTATTTCCCAAATGTTACCTTCTCCATATCTCCTTACTTATGGGTTTTGGAGAAATAAAATAGCTTTGCATCTTTGTCTAACAAATCCATGTTCAGATTTTCACAAAATTATTTTGCCTTAAGACCAAATGTATGGAGACCAAATTCAGGTTCACAAACTGAGGTTCATTCGAGTCGCAAAACAGAAATAAAAAATATTCAGAGCTCAGATAAATTTAACTTAGAGTTATCAATTCATCTCTATATATAGAAGTATAAAATAAAAAAAAAAGTACATTAAGGGGCTACATACTGTAGTCATTTATTTGCCTGTTCTTGATTTCTCTAAGAAAAAAGCTCCAGATAGTGCTTAGATAAAGGAATTTGATGAAGAAAAAAGAAGACATTTGCCTCTGGTTTTCTTCCTGTATCTTATTGTCAAAATCGAAACTCTGTGGTTTGGCAATGAGACCGTAGGGATTTGCTAAATAAAATTGTGCTACTGTGGTAGATTTATATCCTGGTGTATTCTTGTGATGCTAACACTTAGAAACTCCTCAAAGCTCCAGTACAGTGATTAGAGGGGCTATAAAACATTTCTAATTTGCGTCTTGTACATTTCTGTTCAGAATTGTATTTTTTTCGTCTATTGTGGAAGATAATATTCTTAATAAAACCTGAAAAGAAGCAGATGCTATCCCAAACCCCAAAGTACAGTTTAATATAAGAGAGGTTATTGGAAATACCGCAAGGCTAGCCTTCCATCGTCAAGGCAAACCTCTTGGGCAAGTCCTGCTCTAACGATTCACAATGCTGCTTTCAGCTCAAAGACAACATTTCAGATTGTCCTTTAAGATATTTTATCCCTTTATGATTATTAATATGATGTTTACTGGATTTTATATATTCTCATCTATTAAGTGTTGGTCACTGTTATGAGAAAGCCCTCTTCTGTGGGCCACTGTTATGGTGCCTGTGGATGTCTCTCCTTCTCTGTATCATTTTGCAAATGATACTGCAACTTGTGTCATTCAGGCATCATGTCTGACTCTGAATGCTATGATCATTTGTCATGTTTTTACTTCCTTCTGCCAATGCCACAGTTCTAGGTGTCAGGATGGGGCTGCTGCCCAACATGCAGAACGAAGTCAAAAACATAGAATAGACTAAAGGTGATAAACATATTACCGGGCCTTAGAATGGTCAGATTTAACGTAGAAAGAATAGTCAGAAACAAGCCAACGTCAGGGACACAGATAGGAGAATAAACGAGAAGATTAAAAACCAGAATAACAATATACCAAACGTGCTCTCGGATAAATAAAGTATTGGAAACCACGACAGGGCACTAAACACTAGCAGGTCTGGATTTAAATACCCCAAAACCCTGATCATTGGTCAAAATGGGACCTATGACCCAAAAACGTGCGTGTGCATAAAAAACGTGATGCCGTATGCCCGTTTACGTCAAATATGACATTTTTGGCTTTGGCGCTATTTAGTAGCGTGGGACTGCAGTGGCCAGCATCCTCCATAATGTTGAACCCGGTCACTACACCAGGTAGGTGGGAGAGGCACTGCGGATTAGGTGAGTAACTCTCCCTCCTGAAGCGTGACCGCACCGATCTGGTGCAGCCACAGAGTGACGGGCACCATGACACTAGGGAAGAAAAGTATGTGCAATACCGTTTCAACGTTGCAGTTGTGCTTTTGACCAATGAATATTATACTATGTCCTGCCCTGCTGTGGTTTCTATAGAACCCTGCCCGTGGATAGTATCCTGCCCTGCCATGGTTTTTTCTTTTAGTCATCCGAGAGCCCATATTATTCTAATTGTTTATTCTGGCTAGTTTCTTTGTCCTATGTTCTTCTTGACATTCCAGCTATTTGTTACTCTGTATCCCTTGATGGTGGCTAGTTGACTTTAAGGACCGTTAATACACTACTGCCCATTTTTTATCTTTAGGTCAATGTTACCACCCCTGTAACATTATTGTAGTTGTTATGAGAGCAGGAATGTCTGGGCACATTTTGCCTTCCTTGTTTCTGACATCTGTAATATGAGGAAGTTTTGTTATGCAGCCAGTGATTTCGTGCCTGTGGCAGCAAACTCACTCACCGCCCAGTATGTACCTGCCACCCAGCAAACCTTCCTCATACTGTGGCGGCCAGGTTGAAATTTAACTGGTTAAAACCCTGAAGGTAAGATGTTACCCAGCCACTTCAGCCCTTTAACAATGAGTTGAGTTTGGAAATTGTATGTATTGGAAGAACAATGTAAAATACAGTTAAAGGATCAGCGCACACACAAACAAAAATACAGCTTTACATTTAACAAGGCTACTTAAAATCACCTATCTCAGCAAACAAATATGAGGACTCGGTTTCACCATATGATCATATTGTGTTATGCCCACTTTTACATCACAGTACCCCAATATCTGTATGTCCTACACTAATTTTAACATGAGAGATTTACATGCTAACTTGCAATACTTACTTGCAGTAGAAACTGCTTAAAGAGACTCCTTAATTTAAGCTTTCCAGTGATCATCTCCAAAGGGGCACCCATAGTGGATGGGTGGGGTGCTCAGCCCAATAGGAATCTGGTCTGGATTCCAAATCTACACAGAAAAAATGGGATCTAGCTCTGCACAATATAAACAAATATATTTAAAATCATGACCTTCATTATGATTATTTTATTTTTAACATTTATTTGGCATTGTCAGCTAAATGCACTACGTGTTTTACATCATACAATCTGATCCCTCTCTTCCTAGATGTATGACAGATGTCTAGAAAATACAGTAATAGTTCTGACGTTTCTCTGAACGAGTTTAGAGCGTATACAGTGCAGCTACTGTCATGATCTCAAAGAATATAATTTTTAAAAAAGCCAATTGAACTACTTATGAATGCTAGCATCTTAAACTTGTATAGGTTTGTTAAAGGAACACTGTTGTGTTAAGAATAGATATTTGTATTCCTAACGCTACAGTCCTGATGTCCCTAGTTATTCAGGGACCCCCCAGTGTCAATAAAAACAAAAACAAACTAAACAGAAATAAAACAAATTAGTCACCTTTTCTCCAACACCAAGTTTTCCTTGGCACTGCCACATCTTCCTCCTTGTTTGATGTCATCCTGAAGGAGTACCTTCAGTATGACGGTTCAATCCAATGCTCCTCACACATAAACACTGTGGACCATAGGCTTATGAGTGGTGCTCTCTGCAATGTGTCTACGACTCTGCCATTGCATTCAATGATTCTCTAAGGAAGAGCATGATGTGCAGTGTGCGCATGTTTACGTGACATCACAGTTTATTATGATATGAAGCTAGCACGTGACAGTCCAGGATCTCATGCCCAGAGAGCTCGGAGGTATGGCTTGAAGATGCTCTTCCAGGCCTTTTAATTATTATTATTTTTTTAAAAAGGTCTTTGGGGGGCAGGATTCAATGCACTATGACAACTTCATTAATCTGTTGTTGTTTTAGTGCCTAAAAGGTTAAAGGGAATGGGTGGGTAACATAACTATATAACTATGGGGCATCTAAACCAGAAATAACGCTACATTATGACCGTGGGAGTGAGAAGATTATTTTTCTTTTGAATTATGAAAAATAAATCTGAAATCTGGGCTTCTGTATTTTGAATGTTTTATGTTTTTTTTTTTTGCCATGAGTTCAGCTTATGTGTTTTTGTAATTGAGGTACAATTCTTGGAAATTTTAAGAAACGCGGAATTTGAATGCATTAACGAGATAATTGTGTGCAAGTTGTGCCATTAGACTTTAAAGAAGGCAGAAGCACGCACATTTATCTTGCTTTGTAAAATGTGAGTTCTCACAAATCATTACATGAAATGGCAACAAAAAAATTGCTTCTGCTCCACATGAGTTTTGCCATCGTTACTTAGCGTGAAAGGAAAACAAAACACTTGACTTGTTGTGGGAAGAATAAAATAAACAAAATGCTTTATCTTCTTCTAGAAAGTTTTAGAATTTGCAGCAAATTGTGAGAAACACTGTAATATTAAAGAGGATCTGTAACTTCCTGGGATTTTCAATTCGTTTTACTTATTAACAAGTATGCTCCTGTGAAGTTTAAAGCAACTTTGTCACCAACCTGTCATTTTTTTAGTGTTCCATAAAGATCTTTATAAAATATCCATATTGACTGCGTTGGGATTGTCTGGATCTAACGCAAAACATTCTACATTCTATTTAATTCATTCACACTCTTGAAGGTCTATTTACAAAAATTCTAAGTAAAGTCAAAATAAATTTCAAATTTATGGCCAGAGTAACGGTAAGGAAAGCATAGCTGACATGTTGCCGTTCGCCTATTTTGACCTTAAATTGGAAATTTGCTTTTGTGCATAACCCTCTTAGATGCTACTTGAAAGATGAGGGTATACTGCGCTAAAATATCTCAGAATGAAACCAACCATTCTTTACCCAGAGCCCCTTTCTCCCTTGACAGATGGTTTCAAGCACGATTTATTAAAGCGACGTAGCGTTTGTGAAATGGGTTAAAGAGGAACTGCCACTTCCAGATAAGCAGGAGTTAGGAAGGCGACTTACATAGTGGGGGTATTCAAATCACATACTTACTCCCCCTGCATCTCTGCTCTCCAGCGACTTTGTCATCCCATGATGCTCGAGAAGTGCATGCGCACTTTGACATCTAATGGAGAAATTCAGCATGTGCGCATGTACATTCAGCATTATCACCAGCAGTGCCGTATGTACGCTCGTACATTCAGCATTATCACCAGCAGTGCCTTATGTACGCATGTACATTCAGCATTATCACCAGCAGTGCCGTATGTGCGCTCGTACATTAAGCATTATCACCAGCAATGCTGTATGTGTGCTCGTACATTTAGCATTATCGCCAGCAGTGCCGTATGTGTGCTCGTACATTCAGCATTATCGTCAGCAGTGCGGTATTTACATTCAGCATTATCGCCAGCAGTGCCGTATGTACGAATGTACATTCAGCAATATCGCCAGCAGTGCCATATGTGCGCTCGTACATTCAGCATTATCGCCAACAGTGCCGTACGTGCGCTCGTACATTCAGCATTATCGCCAGCAGTGCCGTATGTTCGCATGTACATTCAGCATTATCGCCAGCAGTGCCGTATGTGCGCATGTACATTCAGCATTATCGCCAGCAGTGCCGTATGTGCGCAAGTACATTCAGCATTATCGCCAGCAGTGCCGTATGTAAGCATGTACATTCAGCATTATCGCCAGAAGTGCCGTATGTGTGCATGTACATTCAGCATTATCACCAGCAGTGCTGTATGTACGCTCGTACATTCAGCATTATCACCAGCAGTGCCTTATGTACGCATGTACATTCAGCATTATCAACAGCAGTGCCGTATGTGCGCTCGTACATTCAGCATTATCACCAGCAGTGCCGTATGTGCGCTCGTACATTAAGCATTATCACCAGCAGTGCTGTATGTGTGCTCGTACATTAAGCATTATCACCAGCAGTGCTGTATGTGTGCTCGTACATTTAGCATTATCGCCAGCAGTGCCGTATGTGTGCTCGTACATTCAGCATTATCGTCAGCAGTGCGGTATTTACATTCAGCATTATCGCCAGCAGTGCCGTATGTACGAATGTACATTCAGCAATATCGCCAGCAGTGCCATATGTGCGCTCGTACATTCAGCATTATCGCCAACAGTGCCGTATGTGCGCTCGTACATTCAGCATTATCGCCAGCAGTGCCGTATGTTCGCATGTACATTCAGCATTATCGCCAGCAGTGACGTATGTGCGCATGTACATTCAGCATTATCTCCAGCAGTGCAGTATGTGCGCAAGTACATTCAGCATTATCGCCAGCAGTGCCGTATGTAAGCATGTACATTCAGCATTATCGCCAGAAGTGCCGTATGTGTGCATGTACATTCAGCATTATCACCAGCAGTGCTGTATGTGCGCTCGTACATTCAGCATTATCGCCAGTAGTGCCGTATGTGTGCTTGTACATTCAGCATTATCGTCAGCAGTGCGGTATTTACATTCAGCATTATCGCCAGCAGTGCCATATGTGCGCTCGTACATTCAGCATTATCGCCAGCAGTGCCTTATGTATGCATGTACATTCAGCAATATCGCCAGCAGTGCCATATGTGCGCTCGTACATTCAGCATTATCACCAGCAGTGCCTTATGTACGCATGTACATTCAGCATTATCACCTGCAGTGCCGTATGTGCGCTCGTACATTAAGCATTATCACCACCAGTGCCGTATGTGTGCTCGTACATTTAGCATTATTGCCAGCAGTGCCGTATGTGTGCTCGTACATTCAGCATTATCGTCAGCAGTGTGGTATTTACATTCAGCATTATCGCCAGCAGTGCCATATGTGCGCTCGTACATTCAGCATTATCGCCAACAGTGCCGTACGTGCGCTCGTACATTCAGCATTATCGCCAGCAGTGCCGTATGTTCGCATGTACATTCAGCATTATCGCCAGCAGTGCCGTATGTTCGCATGTACATTCAGCATTATCGCCAGCAGTGCCGTATGTGCGCAAGTACATTCAGCATTATCGCCAGCAGTGCCGTATGTAAGCATGTACATTCAGCATTATCGCCAGAAGTGCCGTATGTGTGCATGTACATTCAGCATTATCACCAGCAGTGCTGTATGTGCGCTCGTACATTCAGCATTATATGTGTGCTTGTACATTCAGCATTATCGCCAGCAGTGCCGTATGTGTGCTTGTACATTCAGCATTATCGCCAGCAGTGCGGTATTTACATTCAGCATTATCGCCAGCAGTGCCATATGTACGCATGTACATTCAGCATTATCGCCAGCAGTGCCGTATGTGCGCATGTACATTCAGCATTATCGCCAGCAGTGCCATATGTGCGCGTGTACATTCAGCATTATCGCCAGCAGTGCCGTATGTGCGTGTGTACATTCAGCATTATCGCCAGCAGTGCCGTATGTGCGCAAGTACATTCAGCATTATTGCCAGCAGTGCCGTATGTACGCATGTACATTCAGCATTATCGCCAGAAGTGCTGTATGTGTGCATGCACATTCAGCATTATCGCCAGCAGTGCCGTATGTGCGCTCGTACATTCAGCATTATCGCCAGCAGTACTGTATGTGCGCTCGTACATTCAGCATTATCGCCAGCAGTGCCGTATGTACGCATGTACGTTCAGCATTATCACCAGCAGTGCTGTATGTGCACTCATACATTCAGCATTATCGCCAGCAGTGCCGTATGTGTGCTCGTACATTCAGCATTATCGTCAGCAGTGCCATATGTACGCATGTACATACAGCATTACCGCCAGCAGTGCTGTATGTGCGCATGAACATTCAGCATTATCGCCAGCAGTGCCGTATGTATGCATGTACATTCAGCATTATCGCCAGCAGTGCCGTATGTGCGCGTGTACATTCAGCATTATCGCCAGCAGTGCCGTATGTGCGTATGTACATTCAACATTATTGCCAGCAGTGCCGTATGTGTGCTCATGCATTCAGCATTATCGCCAGCAGTGCCGTATGTACGCATGTACATTCAACATTATCGCCAGCAGTGCCGTATGTGCGCATGTACATTCAGCATTATCACCAGCAGTGCCGTATGTGCGCATTTACATTCAGCATTATCACCAGCAGTGCGTATGTGCGCATGCACATTCAGCATTATCACCAGCAGTGCCGTATGTGCGCATGCACATTCAGCATTATCACCAGCAGTGCCGTATGTGCGCATGCACATTCAGCATTATCACCAGCAGTGCCGGATGTGCGCATGAGCATTCAGCATTTTCACCAGCAGTGCCGTATGTGTGCATGTACATTCAGCATTATCGCCAGCAGTGCCGTATGTACACGTGTACTGCATTGCAAAAACATACTTATTTGCAAATGTTGTATGGTTTTGCCAAGTTAAAGCATGTAAATGAATATAAAAGAATATAAAAGGAATTTTAGATCAAGAATTTTAAAAATTAGCATAACCAACATGGCTATTTGATGGTACTAAAGGTGAGGCAGTAAAAAATTCCTGTTCGGATGTCAGCTGTATAAATAATTGAAATTTAGCCTTTATTGTTTTATTGAGAAATTACTACAGTAAGCCTCTCTTTCAAAAATGCACAGTGAATATTAAAATATATCTTAAAAATATGGATAAATAATATTCCTACTTGTTCTCCAATTATAACACATACCCTTTCCCTAAAAGAATACTTTTAGAATTATTTTATGGGGTAGTAAATACATTGCCTCTTAACCATTAAATTAATACTAATATTAATAAATTGCATGCTATTACATAACATTGTAGAGTGATGAGAATAACATGCTATCTGTAGAAGAATAGATTTGCATTTAAAAAAAAAAACATGTTTTTGTTCAAAGAATACACACAAATACTCTGCTATCGTGGATATCAAACAATTGCAAACACAACACATGTTTAGCCTAAAAAAATCATTGTGCAATATATGTGTGGCAGAATTATTGGCACCTCTATGAATTAATATATATGAATATTCAAAGTATACTACCATTGCTATTTTATTTTGTTTTAGTACGGCTGGGTGACTAGGAACAGGAAATTGTTCAAATGTGACTTCCTGTTTCACAGGGGTATAAATATGAGGAAACACATAGGCCATTAGTCATTCAGTCAGTAAGACCAATGAATATAGCTGTGAGGTGCAGCAACAGGTTTTTGAGCTTTACAAAATGGGAAGTAGCTATAAGAAAATAGCAAAATCATAAAAAATGCCCATTTTCACAATCAGGACAATAATTAAGAACTTCCAATAAGCTGGAAATGTTATGAATCCACCAGGAAGAGAACGTGTTACTGTATGGTCTCAATGCACTGTGAAGAAGATGGTTCGAGTGACCAAAAAATGTCCAAGGAATACAGTTGGTGAATTGCAGACGTTAGCTGCGTCTTGGGGTCAGAAAGTCTCCAAAACTACAATCCGAGGTCACCTACATCACCATAAGGATTTCAAGAAAAAAGCCTCTACTATCATCCAGAAACAAACTCAAGTGTCTTCAGTTTGCCAGACACTACTGGAACTCCAAATGGCATCGCGTTCTATGGTCAGATGAAACCAAAATAGAGGTTTTTTTGACAATAAACACCACAGGTGGGTTTGAGGCACACAGAGAGGTAACCACATGGAAAAGTACCTTATAATGCCCACAGTCAAATATGGTGGTGGCTCTTTGATGTTTTGTGGCTGGTTTTCTGACAGTGGACCTAAACAATTTGTTAGGATACACGTCATCAGGGACTCTATTAAATATCAACCTGACTATCTGTTGGAATGCTTAAAATGGGCCATGGTTGGATCTTCCAGTAGGACAATAATCCAAAACACAAAAATGGCAGAGGAAAGTGTTCTCTTTACAATAAGAACAATAAAGATGTTTAATTCTCTTAAAGAGGTTGTTGTATCAGATTCTGTGCAGATTGTTATGCTTGGATTTTATTTTTCATATTTACTTTTAGCAGAATATTCTAGGGGTATAATACGTTGCTACATTGAAGTCCTTTACTGCAGGCTGCTACACATACATACATTTATTTACACTTACGTACAAACTCACGCATACATATTCCTATCCAGACAGCTGTGGATCTAGAGGTAGTCAAAGATGAAGCCGCTTTAAACGAAGGGTCTATAGTTAGCCCGCAGGAATGTATTATGGTTAAATTGCATTTATGGTATCTACTTCCACATACAATCTATGTAAACAATGATTTATTTTCATTAGTTACATTTTCCAGGAAGGCACTGCCTCGTTTCTAAGTAGGTTGTAAATAGATCGGACGAGATCCGGTCCCTGCATACTCCTGATTCCAAACACCAGCAGTGTGCGTTCTTATAGCTGTGTCTACTTGTGCTGGGATATCAACGCTAACAAGATTATTCCTTTATATTCAAAGCAAAATATTTAAGCCATTTGTCTTCTAATCCCCTTGAAATAATTGTATTTGGTTGTAGAAGGATCGAATAATTTGTGACAGCTGAGAAATTTCAACAATTCATTATGTGTGAAATTGTAGAAAAGTGTGAAAATGGCATAATTGCTCATGTCCTTGTTGTTGAATAAAAATACAATATTGGGCGAGATTGAACACAGTCCTCATAAACTGCATTACAAATCTATGTGTATCTGTATGTATAGTATTTATATACATATACTTGACAACAATTCACACTTCAATAAAGGACTCTCTGGTAAGTGGACTTGTGCATGGCAGATGCCATGAATGAATTTGCTAGTCGATTTGTTTAAGTCAAAATTTGTTCAATATTTGGGATTTAGGACTTCCATTAGGACAAATGAAATCTTTTCGTGGTTTATAAGTAGATAAATCCCTAATCTGGTACCATTATGTGGGATTACCATATTTAAGAGTACTATATTACAAACTGTGTTTAGTAGATATCTCCCTTTTTAAATTTCCTTAAATATGACAATCCCATATAAGGATACCGAATTAGGGAGCTATCTACTAAACAGCTGAAATATTTCAATTAACAAAAGTCCTTTTCTCAATTTTGGTATTTCAGTAGATAGCTCCCTAATTTAGTACCATGACACTGGATTGGCATATTTAAGGATACCACATTAGAGAGCTATTTAGATTATATTGATTATTATTATTATTATGATATTTATAGAGCGCCGTCAAATTCCGCATTGCTTTACAAGTATTGATTTGATTATATTGAATCATCATATTTAATCATTTTAAATTAGGGAGCTATCTATTGGAACAGTGGAAACCAAAACTTAAGAAGATTGCTTTTCTTAATTTTGATTTTTCAAATGTTTTGTAGATAACTCTCTAAATATCATTGGTACCATATTCCATAAAATATTCCATATTTGAGGTTCCAAATGTTGGAGATGTTTAGTAATTATGTCCCCTATATGAGGAGGTGTTAGTTAGGTTTTTGTAAGAAAAGCATTCCACACTTGCTATTTTCTTTTGATGTAACACCAAAGATGGGGTTCACATGTGTAAAGCAGTTTAGGGATTTATTAATTGAAATATTTTAGCTCAATTATATAATTTTTTTTTTGTGTGCAAAGTATACATTTTATATATATGTTAAAAGATCCAACATTATATATTTTATACAAAATGCAGATTGCATTGTAATGGTGTGTACCAGCTGTTCCAAGTTAATAAGCATGTAGGGTGTATATAAAAATATCCCTTTCTGTCTCATTAGATATATCTTTGCCAGAAGCTCAAGAAAGCAGGGTGAAAGGTTAGTGTAGGACCCACCTGAGAGGTCTGCCTTGACGTGGCAGGTGGGCTAAACTCTCTCATGGCCATTGGAAAAACTAAATAACCTCCATTTGTTTAATAACACACAGGGATTTGGAAAGAGCGCAGGTAACTTTTTTCATTAGTTTTGACTGTATGTATTGGGGCTTATGTGTACTGTGGTCATTGCTGCCGCCCAGGAGTGATGGGAGTTTGAGCGCATGACTTGTTTTTTTTGTATTTAGATTAAATGTATACTTGTGACTCTAAGTCTGTGGTCCTGGTGTAGCAGAATGGATTCTTGGGGACATTTGACCCCTTAAGGACACATGACGGAAATGTTTTAAGGGGTTAATCTGCTAGATAAGAAGTATTCAGACGACTAAGGATTATGTCATTCTAGTCTCACAATTATTTCAGTCAACTGAAATCCTAAGGTCCTCTGTGTCAATAGCTTCAGAAAGGTCAAGGAGAAATAGGATGCAGCCGTCACCCTACCCCTTGCCGTTGGAAGATCATTTAGTACACGTGCCATTGTAGCGTCACTATTATTATACCAGCTCCTAAATCCGGACTGGAATGTGTCAGAGATCAGATTGTTTGTCAGTCAGATTTCCTTTTTGGCTCTAAAATCATTACTCTATGACTTTCTCTGAAAGAAAAAAAAGTTATCTTGTATTATGTTTGTATACATCTTAATACATAATTTGTATCTTGCATCATGTAATGTATTGTAGATAGACAGATTTTTAATTATTGTTATAATTAATTTTTTTATTTAATTTCCCAAGTAGAGTTCCCTTTTAATGTACCAGCCTCTAACAAAATGTAAACCTAAAAGACCATCAATTATCATTGTTTTTAAACACAGTTGTGTGATGGAAACGACCACATGCTCTGATTCTTTAACAAAAGAGCTAATATAGCAGTTGAACAAAAAGACTGATGATCAAATAATGAATCGCTTTAAATGAACAAGTTGTTGCTCAAAGGAATGATTTATAATTTGCCTAATTGCAATGAATCAGTAACAAGAATCCCCATTTACAACAGTCAGAAACACATTGCTAAAAAGTGATGATATAGTTACAGTTTAGAATTCAATCTTTTTCTAGATAACATTCTGGAGCTACTACAGCATGCAAACCTTCAGATATTTCCAATGACCTCTGTATCTAAGACATTTCTGGGTTACATAAGAGGCAAGCAGTCTTTCACCAATGAGAGCCGAGGTCTGTAGAATGGCCGGCTCTGTGTTTAACAGTAAGACCACTGTTAGCAGCTGTTTATAGAAATTGAACATTTGGTATGACAGACAGGGATGGGGTGCACTCAAAACATACAGCTGATGCATTCTTTCCATGTTATGGTGGTCGATACGCTGTAACAGACATAAAATGTCAATTTACGTCATAAAAAATTATCTTTACGCATTCTTGGGAGAAATGTTCAGAAACTTTTAAAACTGCACCGAGTGTTAGAGCAGGGGTAGGCAACGTTTTAGCAGGACTGTACCGAAATAAGATTGTGATGTCCTATTTTTTTTCAAATTGAGGTGTATATGTTGGCGTTTTCTGCTTGTGTTATTTATACTGCAGTTGCTTTGTATCGTTGTATATGTGCGTATATGAGCTATTAAATCGTATATGTTCATGAGTAGTTTGTGGTC